TGAGTGACCCTAATATCAATTTATGGTACTTCTCAGAGGCTCCTTCTCCTCATCTGTAAAATGGGGCTGAGCCACAGCCATCAGATGAAAGGGCCACAAGGACCCGTTTCAGCACAGGACGCAAACCACGCTGGGTAAGCCGTAGATCCTCAGTGCTCTGGGCCTTTACCCACCGGTTCTCTGTGAGTGTATGAGGCATGTTCCTCATGGAACCTGGCCAGCTCTTCCTTGGCTGGTCAGGTGTCCCTTCAGACATGTGACTACTCCTAGAATCTGTCCTCTGAGGCGGGCAAGGTATTATAACAGTTCCTCTAAGCGGAGCTGTTGCCAGAAGGCTTCCCCACCGTTGTTCACCATTTCATCCTCACCATGAAGTAGGCATCTCCTACTTTACAGTCATCCCCATTTCACAGACTAGTAGAGGCACAGAGAAGTGAAGTAACCTTCTTAACGGCACCCAGCTGGTAAAGGGCAGAAATGAGATTATAAAAAGTTCTGGCTCCAGAGCTGACCATTACTCAGCTGGACCAAGAGGCTTCCGCCTCAGATGGAGCAGGGCTGCGGATGAAAAGGAGTGTTCTGGAGACCCAGGCACAGCTGCCTCTCTCACATCTGGGGTTCTCAGCTAGCACCGGGACCTCCTCTACTGGGAGGAACAGGGTACACTGCAGACCTTGCCTCCCTGCAGTGGGCAATTCCATGTCTCACTGGCACTACCTCATCAGGGCACACTGCATTTTAGATTTCAAAGCCTGACAGAGAAGTCGATGCAGAGCTGTGACTCCTTAAAATAACAGCAGTGGTCTCTCTCCTCGCTAGCAATCTAGAGTCAGACCGGCTGGATTCAAATTCTACCCGCACCCCCTACCTGATCTGTCATTTTCTTCATATTTAACAGAAGAAGAACTCGGGCACCTTCACGACAGAACTGTTATGAGAATGAAAATAATTCATGCACAGAAAGTGCTTAGAAGAATTCCTGGCAAACCCAACAAACATGAGCTATCATGAAGTTGGATTAAGGGGATCTTACAGTGACATGGTCAGTCAGTGACGACCGTTTATATTGTTCTGCTATTTTCACCTAAGATTCATTTAACACAGTGGATCCTGTTGTGCTATATGAGACCTTGGTGTCCAGAGACTCAGATGCATTGACAGGGATACAGTTGTCCAAAGAGCAGCACCTACAGGGAGAGATCTCGAGGCAAAAGGAAGGGGTGCTCCTGGGAAGGGGAGTGGAGATGGAATCCACAGGGCAGTCAAGACTGGGCTGGAGCTCCCCCAGTGAGTAGTTACCGTTGCGCGCAAGGGGATTATCCCAGGGAACAGAACAGAGATACATAAAGGATGGCAAAGGAAGGCATCCACAGATGGTGAGGTGGGGAAGGGAATAAAGGATAAGGTTGTGAATGGGACTGGAGTGGCGGGCGGGGCCGTGTCCTGAAGAGCCCAAGGGCTGTGTGACTTTTATGTGTCAGCATGGGGGAAGAGCGTGATCAGACTCCCTTTTTTAGCACGTAGAGGATGGGCCTAAGTGTTAACGTGGTAGAAGGGAATGAACAGAAAGATTCTGCAGTAATTAAATGAAATAATCCATGGAAAGCGCTGAGACTGGCACATAGTAAGCACCGGAGATGCTAATTGCTATTATTATTGTTATTATTATTACAGGCAGAGCAGTGGGGATGGGGGAAAGGGGAAAGAGATGTTAAGAAGGAGCATTGGTGGAGTGTGTTGACTAATTGCCCATAAACACTTTCCTTTTCTCTTTAAAATGATCATTTATATGGCTACACAGTGTTCTGTAGAATTAAAAAGCCACAGTCATCCTAACCACCCATGATTATTTGGCATTTAGAAATAGTAAGAGGAGACAGCCTGCTCTCTAAATGACACAAAGTTAGGGAATCAGAGACTTCTGAAGTCAAGCCTCTGGGGACAGCACTCAGTATTTTTTTTTTTTTTTGGTACCAGGAATCAAACTCGGGACCTTATGCTTGCCAGGCAGGTGCTTGTGCTGCTGAGCTATATCCCCAGCCCTGAAGTTGAACCCTGAGGAGGTGGCTGCCCAGTCCTGAGACCCCAGGCAGGACTCAGTCCCCAGTCTAAACTGGGAGGGCACCAATTTCTTTCTGGGACTGGGGGGTTGGATAGATTGCTGGACTCATGGTGCTCCAGCAGTACGCTCAGCGGGTGGTTGTGCTTATGAGGATTGTTGAGGATTATTATCAGCGCTGCACACAGATACCTTTGTACAAATAGACTTTTTTTTCTTCTTTCTTTCGAATGATTTTCCCGGAATACAGTTTCATAATGGGATCTCTGGGTTAGACAATAAGATGATTTTCTGACTCATCAAACATTGTCAGACAGGATATTTTCCCATCACTTTCTGCGTGCGGGGCCAGTTCTCCTGCAAGGCTGGCAAAGAGAGGTTTGGGAGCGTAGGTTCTCTGCCATCCCTACCTTCAGGCCCATTGCATTGTAGCCCCCCAAGCCCCGAGCATTCTGATACTTCCCTTAGACATTCAGATGGGAAGGGGAAAGGAAGGGAAGAAAGAAGGATGGAAGGAAGTGAGAGAGGGAGGGAAAGAAGAAAGATGTAGTCCTATTTTTGGACTCCAGGTAGCTGGCACGCTAAGCATCTGCATGTTAAAGGGAACACCCAGAGAAGTCTGAATATTTAACCAGTATAAATACACTCTGATGGTGGGATCACAGACAGCATAACAGACACCTGAGGTCCCTCCCAAAAGGGCCACAATGTGTGTATGTGTGCTCGTTCCTGTGTGCACTGGCACAGCTCAATTTATACAACAGAGATAGCTACAAAAAGGGTTTCTAGAGAGAGAAGCTGTGGTAAATAAAACATAGTCCTTACAGTCAGAGAAATTTTCAGCCAACACCAAGGCAAGAATATCTTAGCCCAAGTGAAATATCTGCAACAGGACCTCAGCTGCCAGGACTGGTCTCAGGATGCCCGACTATGGATATGGGTTGTACAAGGAAAGGCATAAATGCCCTCAACCCTCTTTTCTTTTCCAACAAAGGGGCCTTCTAAGTGGTCATCAGGAAACATCGGGATGCCTGATGGGCTTTCTGCCTGCCTTCCTCCTCTGGTTCCAACTCTGTGGAGCCAGGGGCCTGGGTTGACTGTGAAGGCCTGGTAGTCCTCAGAGGCTGGGGTGGCAGGCTGGCACAAAGGAGGCTCCCACACCGAGTTCCAGGCCAGAAGGTGGTTTCATCTATTGTTTAGCCCCATCTGTTTGGGTGCACGGTTGAAAGTGAAATCTTGGGCCACCCCAATACTTTCAGATTTTTCCCACGGGATCCTCTCTTTCCCTTCCAGCCCACATGCCAACCTTCCATGCTGGGCCAGCGTTGCCAGGTGTCTCCACCCCAGTGGCAGAGGACAGGCTCAGACACCATCACTGTTCCTCTCCCACCCCCTCAGAGTCCTACACAGGATTAGTCAGAAGAAAAACAGCCTCATCCTGACAGACCTTTAAAGATTAGCTGGAGAATCCTGTTTCAAGCCTACTGAGCTCTGCCTGTATGCCAGGAACATATAACATACATACGGCACCCTGATCTCTCCAAAGGATCTGCCACCAATAGGCTCTTGTAGAACATGCCACACTCCAGTAAGATGTGGAGCCTGTGTCCCTGACCTGAGAAGATGGGTGAGCATGGGTGACTCAGGCCTGACCCCCAGCATGTGGCACTATTGGAAAGCGGTAAACCTGTAAGAGGTGGGACCTAGTTGGAAATCTTCTGGTCATATGAGGATAGGCCCCTGAAGGAGATGGTGAGGCCCTGGCCTCACCCTCTTTCAATCTGGGATAAGGTCAACAGAGTTCCTCCGAGAGGAGCTTCTGCTAAGAAAAGTGCCACACGACAGGGCCAGTTGACCACGGACTGAAACCTGTGAAACTGTAAGTCAAAACAGACCCTCCCCTTCTGAGTTGGTCATCACAGGAATTGTGTTACAGTAATGGAAATCTGACTAACAGTGACTTCAGGGGCTAGGTAGCTCATACAAATTGTCAATCACGCTGCCTTATTTTCCAAAGACACTCATTCTTGGAAGCTCACTGCAGGATAGTGAGGAAGCCTAAGAAGCCAGCAGAGGGCAAGGGTGAGTGGGCCACCTGGAGAGAGAATCCTCCAGCTCCCAGCTGCCTGGCATGGAGCAGGGACATGCCATCCCCTCTGAGGCTTGTTCCTATTGCAGATCTGTGAACAGAGTAAACGATTGTTATTTTCAGGCACTAGGTTTCAGGGTGAGTTGCTACACAGCAATAAAAAACTGAAATAGCCAGACATGGTGGCCACAAGGATGGCAAGTCTGAGTCCTACTGGGGCAACTTAGTAAAACCCTGTCTCAAAGTTAATAACTGGGTAAATAAACAAGTAACAAAAAGGCTGGGGATGTAGCTCAGTGTGAAGATCCTGAGTTCAGTCCCTGCTATTGCAAAAATCAAAACAACAAAAAACAGAAACAATTGCTACATTTAACTCTCACAAAAATTCCATCAGTGGATCCTACCACTGACTCCTCTTTATAACTGAGCACACAGGACCTCAGGGCATAAAGTACTTTCTCCAAAGAAACACAACTGGGAGGTGAAACGGGATTCCAGGTCCAACTCAAACTCAGAGCTCCCAAAATGCTCTTTCCAACATACCTCTTCAGCTGCACACACCACGGCACCGCTCACTCAGACTCTCAGCTGCAAACCCTTGTGGCTTCTGCACGATTGGTGTCCACAGGTCGCCCCTCCCCACCCCTCCCCAGGGAAGGCCGCAGGGCTGCACCTCTCCATTCTCATCCACCCTGTTTCTGCCTTCCAGCTTCCTTCCTGGGAGAAGGTACTTCAGGCCCTCTGAGCTCCCAGGCACCTCCAGCCCCAGCACTGATTACTACGCAGACTTATGATGAGAACATTCCAGAAGCCTGGGCACAAGTCAGCTGCTTCCTTGCTTTTCTTTCTTAGGGCGATGGAAAGTACAGCTTCTGAATCAACAACAGCAGCAGCAGCATCTGGGAACAGGTTAGAAAGGCAAGTACTCAGCCCTGCCCCAGACCTTCTGAACTAGACATGCCGAGGGCAGGGCATGCTCAGGTAGGAGAGAACGACTGTCCTAATCACTTCTGTGGGAAACCCATGATCTCTGGAGTCTCATGTTTTCAGATGCCAGAGACAGGAAACCTGTTCAAAGCACTTAAGGGAGAAGAAAGGGAATATACTGGCTTAAATACAGAGAAACAGAGAATGATGTTAGCAGCAATAATGCCTCCAGTGTGCCCCACTCTTCCTAGCCTCATCTTATATTTTCCTTCTATTGAATTTCTCCCTGCACCATGGAAGGCAGGGTGAGGGGGCTGGTCTTAGAGAAGCCAAGCTTATATCACACCACTTTATCACTACAAGGGAATAGAACTCACCTCTCTCTCAAGGTCTCTTCATTAAGTCCTAGGAGAGGCTGTGATTATTCAAGCTGGAGTCACATGTGCAATCATGTGACAGGCCACGGGAGCCTGTGCTCACCCTGGCAGAGGTGCTCATCCAGGAGAGGCAGTATACTATGATGTGCAGGTCCCCGCAAGACCACAAGGTGAATAGGCATAAATTCCACCCAAAAAGGAGGTGCTTCTCTACGTGGGAACTGGCCAGGGGAGCAATGTCCAAAAATCAAATAGCTATAACTCACTGAGTAACACCTGACACCATAAGTGAGTATACCTTGTTCCTGGCTCTGGGGTATTGGAAGGGGTCTTGGTTCCACTCCATACTTAGTATGGTGGCTTCCAAAGATACTGTCCCCCATGCTAACTATACTCTTCAGAATTTGCCTTGTGAGACACCGGGACGACCAGGGTGCACGTGTGAAAACAGAGGCAGTATGTTTCTAAAGGTTAAAGTCACCGTGGCAATTAGGTAATAAAGGTGATTGAGACCCAGCAGTGCTAACTGGAACACCAGCACTCCTCTCCTCATCCCTCTCGACCTGTCTCTGCCCACCTCCATATGCAGAGGTGGAGCAGAGGTGCCGGAGCAGACATTATGGTGGAGAGCTTTATAATTACACTACTTAGACTCTTCCCTCAGCCCCTGGCCAGCTGGGGGTGCTTGAGCTAAGAAGGCCCCTCCCCTCTCTGAGCCTCAGATTTTCATCTGTGAAATAAATGCATCTGATGATACCTGCAGAACAGCCTTTGCTGTGGAAGACCAAGGGAGGAAGTACTAAGATCACTTGGTACAAGCCTTGTAAAGATGTACCACATCTGTACCACATCTCATTTTCTTTCTTTTCTTTCTGCCTAACAAGAGCCCAAACACAACAAACCAGTGTAATTTTTGAAAGCTACTTTGTGAATTGCATTTGGTTGTTTTAATTCTCCTTCTTGTAATCCTCAAAAGCACGGTGCTGACACTGATTTCAAAGGTCGGAGAACTTGAGCTAAGACATGAAAGAGATCCTGTGTTTCCATCCTGGCAAGGACCCAGCTGAATGTCGGTGCCTGCTCTGGGCAGGGGCGGCTCTCAGAGGCTTCACAACCCAAAAACATCCTCAGCTCTGCAGCTCAGGGAGTAAATTTTGCCATTGGCATTGTGGTTGTTAACATAAGAAGCAAAAGATCTCTTTAATGGGTCAAGAACAGGATCAGAAAGCTGGCAAGAGTTTAAACCAGTGTTAAAAGTGGAGGTGGGTTTGTGTATTACCATATATAATTAGATATACAGCAAGATGGATGTAAGTAAGGATGAAGGGAAGGAAAGGAAATATAGACTGTCAAAAAAAGGTTTAGAAAATCTGTAAGTGCTGATGGGGAAAGACACTTTAGAGATATTCAGTGAGCGATCTCTGTGCGCACAAGTGGATTCTTCTTTTCTTCCTTCCTTCCCCACCCCTCCGCAGCCCACCTCCTCTCTTTTATCGTTAGGCCGAGAGTAACCAGTTGATCAATCACTAGCTAGCTTATGCACAAAGGAGGACTTCCGGATATTCACCAGAAACTGTACCAGTGACAACCTCTGGGAAGTGGGAATTGGCCAAGACGTGGGGGAGGTCTTTTCCTTTTCAGTCTGTACTCTTGGCCTATCTGAATTTTTCTCTTTTGTAATAACAACAATGAAAGCAACAGTGGCGAGGGCTGGGAGTGGAAAGCAGGCCCCATGGAGGGGTCATCCCGAGTTCAAGGCTGGATAGGAAGGAGAGGCTACAGCTGGGGGAGGAGGCGCCAGGCCCGAGTGAACAAAGCGGCCTCCTCCAGGGAAGCCCTGACCTGGTGTCCACTGTGGAATGACAAATGGCCCTTCCGCCACCACCATGCAGGGCCAGGCTCACGGCTGTGATTCCTGCCTGAGGCTCAAGTCTTTTCCCATAAAAGCCGCTCACTCTGGGGGGACCTGGGGACAAAGAACTGAATGATTCTGAGGAACTGTCTTGCCCAGGAAGGGGAAATGTTATTTGCAGGTGAAGAGCACTTTCCTGTCTCACAGCCCCCCACCCTGCCAAAGTCCCAGGTGCCATATTTGACAAATGATCCTGGCTTTCCTCAGGCCTGATGCTGCTGCATTTTAATGGACAAAGGCTGCAGGAGGCAGTGGAAAAGAGCCCTGCGCCTGTGGGCCAAGCCCAGCCTTTATCCACATCCACCAAAGACACGGCCATTGCTGCTCATGGGTCCTGCAGAATCCGACAGACCAGACCGGAAAGTGGAGCTCTGGGATCCAGGGCCACACAGCTCTGAGTCCCCTTCCACTCTCCACTGACGAGAGGCCACACAGACATTTCAGGTGTTTCTGAACATGGACCACAATATTTGCATGGGTCAGATGAGGAACACATTTGGCCGGGGTCTTCTGCTTAATTTTGTAGTCTTTCTACTTTTCATAAAGATGTAGGCGCATCCTTCTTTACTCCAAAGCGGTGATTCTCAAGGATCTAAACCACCCCTGCCATCGCAAAAACTTCTGACAGAGGCGGCCAGTGCTATGGGCTTCGAATCTATGCTTCTAACAGGTTCCCTGTGCTATTGCTGCCTCACACTGTTACCCACTGCTCCAAAGGAACACCCGGATGAACAGTGACAAATGGCGCTGGATCCTTGACTTCCGGTAACCAGGTGGGTGAGGACTGTGGTAGGTTGGAGAATGTCCACCCATAGGAGGCAACTAGGACAGTGTCCCAGAGGTCCACACAACACAGGAACAGGTGGGTGTGTAGCGTTTTTAACTCTTCTGCTTTCTTTTGTGGGAGGAGAGAGTTTAAGAACAGCCAGAAATAATGGCTTTTTCTATGAAATCTTCTCTTCGGCCATCATTGGCAACTGTCTCTTAAGATTTTTAAAACATTGTGCAGCCCAAACAAAATACATCTGCAGGCCAGGTTCCACCCTCTGGCTGTTGCACTAGAATACAGATAAGCTTCCCACAGGAAAGAGGCAGGATCAGAGCTCTCAGAGCCTGAGGGCCTCTGAGCCCTTTGCTGTGTGTGTGTGTGGGGGGGGGGGGGGTCAGGCTGGCCACACCTCCCTAGCAGACACCCCCACCTCTTTCTCCCACCCCTTGGGTCACACCTAGGCCCCTATCCGGTCCTCATTGCTCCCCCCACCCCATATTTTGCACTCCAGCCACACTTGCAGAGTGCACTTCTGAACGCCCTTTCAACCAGGCCTTTTCTGGTCTCTCTGCCTTAGTGTGCACGGTTTGTTCTGAAATGCTCTTATTCCCTTTTCCAATCTGCCCTAATTCTCACTTGTCCTTCAAGGGCCTACTCAGCTCTTACCTCCTTGGGGCCTTCCCTTACCACTGTTCACAGCTCTGTGTATCTGGAGCCCCCTCGTTCTCCCATCAAGCACTAGACTGCAAAAGCCCAAAGATGTTTCCATCTCCTCCACTGACCCGGGCAACCAGGAGGCCTTGTGTGTCCAGGCTGAGGTCAGGGCCTGCTGTGGGATAGGAATAAAATAACATTTACCAGACACTGTTTTTTTGGCCTTGGTTTTCCTCTCTTCTTTCTGTTTGCCTGCCTCTTTCCTGTTTTCCTCCAAGCCTCGCTTCATACTTGCTATGTGTGGGAACCCTCCCTGACCTCCCGGACCAAGGCAGGGTGCTGCTTGGCCTGGTCATATTACAGTGTGACTGCTCCCCCTACTCCCCCTACATCACTCCATGAGGACACAAGTCATTTCACTGACACAGGGGCTGCAAAGACAGGAGAAGCACCCTGCAGTCCTTGTAGGACCCAAAGGAGGGGAAATGAACAAAACAAGGGGTAAATGCTCCAAGGTGAGAATGTAAGTTCTGCGATGTGCTGTGAACAGTCCTGCCCTGCCCACTGTTGCTGGTAGGTTCTGAGCATGCAGGGCAGAAGGCATAGTGTTAAAAGTAATCTTTGACAGTCACTTCTTTCAGGACATCTGGGGGTCTTCCGAGACCTCAGCCAAGGTGGCCTATTGGTGCCCAGGTCTCCCATAAAAACTCCATGATTCTATTATCCCATATCCACCCCCAGCAGTTCTCCTCATGGTGGTCCCAAGCCATACACTATCCATCAGATGGCCCAGAGAGAAGGGTTTCTCTGCGGTGTAGCAGCCAGGGGAAGTCTAGGCAGAGAAGGGCCAGGGCTTTCCCACCTCCCAACAGACAACAACAAGGTGAGTGAGTGGCCATCTACTGGGGAGAGGGCCGCCCCGAGGGCTGGAGCAGTACGGGGAACCAAGAAACCCAGCCTAGTTTCATTGAGTTTGTCCAGAGCTACCAGCCTGAGTTCAGAAACAAAGGTGGCCACTAATCCCTCCTTCGTGTACAAAGTCCTCTCTTCACTTCCTTTTTCTTTTCCAGTGAAGTGCAGAAGTGACTTCCTTCAGGAATCTGCAAACCCATCTCTGGGTGGTCATACTCTCTCTAAACTTCACCCCATGGCTTCCACTGTCACCACTGAGCACACCATTGTCACTGTTGGTGTGTCTGTCTCTACCACAAAGACTCCAGTACGCACAGTGGCTAACTCAGATCTTCTGCCACTCGGCGAACCTCCCCAACGTCACACAATGAGAAATCCTGTATATAAGGCAGGACTGGAAAGTGCACTGTGAATATTAAGTGAACTGATGTGAGATCTGAACAGTACCCTGCACACAGAAAACACTTTGAATATACTGTGAATATTCACCAGGATTAGGAGGCGGTCAACAAATGTTTCTGGGGCTACCGCACGAAGGAAGGACAAAAGAGGGAAAGTAATTGGTCAAGTACAAGCTGGAACATTCAGGGCTGCGGGGACCCCACACAGACATTTGATGTGTTCTGACAGCACCTAAAAGTGAGCTGGGCATGAGGACTGTCCTCCTAGAGCAAGGTCCCTTGCAGTGGACAGAGGCAGGGCAGAGAAAGACAGAGCCTGTCTGAAGGCTTCCTCTCCCGCTGTGAAGAGGCCTTCAGAATGAAAGGCATGATGCAACATGCCGTTTCCCTCCAGTGTTTCCGCGTCAGTGGCCTTTCCAAGGACACTCCTTGCTGATTCCTTCCCATTCCCAGCATTCCAAACAGTACTCGGAACCCAGTCCTGCCTGCCTTCCCTTCTGATGACTAAACAAGGCGGGGGTTGGGTTGACCAGGCTGGGGTTCCTTATTCCCAGATGGGGTACATCAGCCGCTATCCTCAGGAGCTCAGCTATCCCCTTTCTGCAAAGGCTCTTCAGCACGGCCCCTGGGCAGAGCGCTCTTGCAAGTCTCTTCCCTTCTCTGAGCCTCAATCACCGAATAGCAGGAGTTCCGACCCCTCCCTCACTAGGCTGTGGCATACAACGCCTGGCACAGGGGTAGGGAGAGCAGCAGACCTACCATAAAGTCCCCAGCCAAATAGTGGGAGGGCCAGGTGATCAGCAAGGCAGCTTCTGGGCTGAACATAAATCAGCTCTGGACCCAAGCCCGTGACAGGAAGACAGGATGTCAATGGCAGCCCGGGGTTGACCTTCCGGAGTCTGCTGTAGTAGCACTAATTGGGGTCTCCTGGTCACTGGCTTCCCAGCCTTGGGGCATGAATGGCTTAGGGACTTCTCCTTCCCCCACAGCTGCTCCCTCTGCCTGGGCAGTGGGGCACTGACCTCCCGAGTAGGTTCTGATCAAAAGGTCTACAGGAAGTGGTCTGGGGGCCAGAGCGGAGACCAAGCTGGCCCTGCTCGCTAGAGCTTGCACTTCAGCAGGGTCCCTGTATTTCTTCTTTCTTCTCTTCTGTCTAAAGCCAGAGAGAACAGAGTCCACTTGCCTGTCTGGAATTCCAGCCTGCCCCTCCTCAGTGGCACTACTGGGGAGGTGTCATCTCTCCGAGACAATCTCTTCATCTGTAAAACAGGCAAACTCCCATCTGCCTAGAAGGCTGCGTGGTGCTTCAGTGAATTCACACAGGACAGCACCTGCCCTGCACACAGTAGTCTCACTCGGCAGCCCGCGGCCTGCATAACTGTCTGTCTGGTCTGATCTGTCTCTGCGTGGTGCTTCCTACCCCGGGGCCGGGAGTGGCAAGATCCACAATCCCACAGGACACAAGGACCCCGGCTCCCCTCCCAGCCCGCCAGGCCCTCAGTCCTCCTGGGCAGGGGACATCCAGAAGTCACAAATCCTCACCATGCACTTGCGGTCATCTATGCCCGTCAGATCCTCCTCGAACTCCTTCCCAAGCTGGAAGTCCATGATGTAGTTCCTGAAAGTGCTCAGGGTGCGGATGATCATGTGGTCACCGTCCTGCTCTATCTCTTTGTCTGGCTTCAGCAAGTTGGCGATTTTGCGCAAGGCCACATTGACATCTACAAGGTGTGCAAAGACAGAGGCAGAAGGTTGGCGGGAAAACTCAGAGAACCTTCCCAGAAGGAGCTGGGTCCCTCCAGGAGCAGTGCCCACCCGGAACACAGTTGGGATTAACCTGCTTGTTTTGTGCTCTCTGGGCCCAGACTGTCTGGGCCTCATTTATTCATTTGTTTTCTTCTTTTGGCAACAAAGTTTTCTGCCCTCTTGCTAACCCCTTAAGAACAAAAAACCAGCAAACCAAGCCCAGCTTTGCTAATTACATTATCCTCCTTCTGAGCCAACTGGCAGATACTTGCCACCAATTAACCCCAACACCCCTGATCCTCCAACTGCAGCCCGCTGGTCGCCTTCCCTGGTGTGGGGGTGCCGGGGCCTCAGCTCCCCCCGCCCCCCCCGTGTGTGTGTGTGTGTGTGTGTGTGTGTGTGTGTGTGTGTGTTGGCGGGGCGCTCACGAAGACTCCGGGGACGACTTCGGGGAGGACCCGGGCGGCCCGCAGAGAGTGGCGGGCAGCGCTTACCCAGAGCGCGCAGGTACTCCTCGAAATTTTCGTTGCTGAGCATCTTCCAGTACCCCGTGAAGTCCACTGGCATTTCTGGGAGCGACTGGGGACCGGCGGCCACGCGGCGGACGGGAGGGGCTCTGAGCTCTGCGCGGGCAGTGGCTGCTGTAGCGATCGAGAGGGTGGGCGGCCCGGAAATGCTCGCCCTCTGGGACCGGGCTCGGTGGGGCTGGGACAGCGGGACACCAAGCGCGTACAAAGCTTGGGGAGGATCCAATGTGGCAGTCGCTCCGCCCCGCTAGGGGGGCGGGGGCGGGGTGTGCGGGGCAGATTTGTCCCTACAGTGTTTTGCTTCCGACCTGCAGTTAGCTTCCCGAGAACGGAAGGGGAGACGTGGGAGGTGAAGGGTTGCTTTATTGACCCCAACTCTTCCGTTCTTGAGGGTTTCCTCCAAAGTTTGTGGACTCTCACATTCAGCGGCCTCTTGAGGACTGGAAATCCGTGCCCTCGGGTCTGCCGGGCTGATGAGGGAAAGGGGCGCACTTACACGCCTTTGTGCAAACCCCTGGCCCAGGGGCGGTGCTCCCAGGGGGGTACAGCTGGACGGTTCGACTTTGGGGAGAGCTAGGGGCCGCTCTCTGCATCTTTCTGGAGAAAGTGAAAGCAAAGTTGAGGTTATTTGGAGACAGCTGTTAAAAGCCCTCCAGGAGGTTCTGACGCAGGATCCAGCTAGAGACCCACCGCCCTGTGCCAATGTAAGCACTTAGCAGCGATGCACGGCTTCTTTTCGTCTCCCTGCTCCCCTGCTGGCAGCGCAGTCCTTCCTGTGTTCTGCACTGAGCTTTGTTCGCTTACTGTCGTCTGGGGTCCTTCCCACCTCTGCACACGGAAAGCATCCCCACTGTTCTGCAGGAGAAGCCATTGTTTATCCAGCCTGGCCCCTGTTGGGGGACGTAGCTGCTGCTTCTGATCCTCCACTATTAGAAGCAGCACTGCCAGTCACCTCTTTGATCGCGTCTTGTCACCTGTAGAGGTCTGTCACTGTGCTTCAGAACAGCTCTTTGCCTCTAAGGAGATGACATAATCACAGTGGTTGACTTTTTGACCCTCCATTAAAGACTAAATATCGCTTTTTAAATTGCTTTTAGCGCAAATCACAGCCTGGGTGACACCAGGTACATTTTCTTCCGTTTTTATCAGCACTGCCATGCCTTCCCTACCCCGGGGCTCTGGTTAGTCTCTGCAGTGCCTTTGGCTGACTTAGTGAAAGATTCCCCTTCCTCAGGGAAGAGGCAGCTTCCTCCCAGGGAGTGGATGGGATCTCAGCTCCTCACACCTCCCTTGCTCCACAGCAGAGATTCTGAACCTCAGCACCAGTAGTGTTTGGGGCCAGACATCTCTTTATTATGGGCATGGGGGTGGGGCTGACATGTCGCTTAGCAGCATCTTTGGTCTCTATTCATTAGGCCCCATGGCATTCACAGCTGCCTCCAGACACAGGCAAGTTTGGGCCCTGGTGGGAGAACAAAATTGCCCTGGCTGAATGCCACAGCTGTAGCCCTGTCAGGCCCCTGTCATCCTTTGTCCTTCGTTGGGCTCTGAGGTGCTCAGGCTGTTGGTTGTTCACACAGACAGTGGCTCTGTGTCCCTTCCTAGCCAGCCCAGAGCTCATCCTAGTGGGAAGCCAAGGCAGCCCTCCCCAGACACCAGGTGCAGGAAGACACATGTGGCTCCTTCAGGGGCATGGAAGGGCCTGGCCTGGCCTGAGTTGTCTAAAACTTCTAAACAGGGCCAGCCACTCCCTGGCTTTTCCATGTTGTACTGACATGTGGGAATGGAAGAACAGGCAAAGGCTTCAACAGTGAACCAGAAATTCCTTGGCCACCCTCAACTAGTCTCAAGTCTTTTTCTTTCCCTACGGCACCATCCAGCTCAGCCATCTGGATTCATCACCTCTTCACCCTTCTCCCTTTGTCCTGAATCTTGAGGTGGTTTATGCCCAAACCAGTACAGTGCATGGTAGAGGCCGAGTCAGTTCTGCTCCCCTACCAGACCTGGAGTGGCCCCCTCATGCTCTGGGCAGAAGCCTGTCCTTTCTTCCACCTCTCTAGCCCTCCTCTGTCCACCCAGAGAACCAAGATCTGACCATGTCTGTGGACATTCCTGATCTTCTGACCTCTGTCTTCTGAGCTGGCTGCCCAAGCACATAGCACTCAAATCCATTGCCTTTACTTAGTACCTGCCTGTATCTTTGTCTACACCCCTAAAGAGGTTAATATATTTCTTCCTGTGTTAGTTACTTTCTCATTGTTGGGACAAAGTACCCACTACCCACAAGTTAAAGGAGGAAAGATTTATTTTAGTTTACAGTTGTAGAGGTTTCAGTCCATCATTAGCTGGCTCTAAGGCAGAGTGGCATGGCAGAGGAGAAGCAGTTCATGCTATGGCAAGTAAGATACAGCAGCCTTCCTTCTTCTTTTCCTTTTTATTCCATCCAGACTACAAGCCTTTTGGTTGGTGCCACTCACACCCAGGGTGAGTCTTCCATCTTCAATAAATCCATTTGGTCACATCTACAACTGTGTTAAACCATTCCGTAGACTAGTCCAGTATCGTACACCCATGATCCAGTATCACACACCCATGATCCAGTATCACACACTCATGACCCAGTCACTCCCCAAAGCCCCACCTATGAGTGCATGAGGTTTGCAGGGGACATCTAGATAAGCAGTAACACTGTCCTGGGTCTTCTCTCAGGAGCGCTCTCCACACATGGCCCCATGCTGGCTATACCTTTTGCAGTCAGGAGTTGGTTGCATGTGTTGGCTTTGGAGACAGACAAATGCTGCTTGTGTTGCTGTCTTTCTGCATGATCTTGGGTAAATGACTTAGCCTCTTTGTGTGACTGTCTATTATGGGCCTGGAGATGGGTGCCCAGATTCTTGTGTTTGACAAACAATTGGATATAGCATGCAACAGCAAGGAAACATTGGTGAAAGTACACTTAGAGTAAGTACCTGCGAATGGAAAATTGCACTAGCTCTGAGGGTGTAGAGTGTAGAGGTTTAAATGTCCCACCTGCTTTAAGGCACCTCCCATGGGGGGTGGAGACTCTAGAACATGACTGACAGCATGATTGACAGGGTGCTGAGTTATGCGTGCACATCTCTTGTGCATGTCCTTTTCTGTAATTCACTCTATTATAATTTTATGTATGAGTCCATATGCATGAACTTTCATGGAGCACCAGGGAAAGAGAGGTTATTCTAGCTCACGCAGGGATGTCTAGTGTCCCTGAGCCTTGGTTTGGAATTTTCAGAATTTCCCCCGGTGGGCTTAGGATCTCTGGTTTTCTTATCTGTACCACCTTGGTAAGCCCTAAAGCAGAGCTGAGGGTGGCCCTGGGTCATTGCCCAGGTTCAGGTGAGTTCAGGAGCGGGGGAGAGGTCTGTATCCCCCGGTGGTGCGGTCTGTATTATTTGCACCTTAGTTCCCACATCTGCAAACTGGAGGCACTGAATACCTTCCTCTCAGGGTGGTGAGGCACAACGGAGATAAAAACGTAAGGGTATGGTACAGAGGCTGCTGCAGACCCAGTGATGTTTCAGTGGAGGGAGCCTTAGAAGCGAGGGAGAAGGCAGGCAAGAGGAGGATGCTACTGAACTATGCTCCCTGCTGGGGCCTTAGGACCAATTCAAGAGGAGTGCACGTGCTCTGTGGAAGCATGGGCATCATCGTGGCTCCTTCCTCTGGTAACTCCTTCCTGCTTACTCTAGTTCATTAACCAGAGAGCACTTCCTGGCGCTGCTTTGCTATATTACTTGGGATGTACAAAACAAAGCAAGAGCGACTGAGGAGAGTATGTTGAGGAGAGGGAGGGGTCTGTGTGGGCTGGCAATCATGAGGCCTCCAGGGAGGAGGATCCAGGTTGTTCTTTAGGACCAGCAGGATCAGAGAAATGGGACAGAGGAGACAGTACAAGAAGAGACAGGTAAGCAAAAGAATGTAGGAGAAGGAAGAGGCATGCTTGTTAAAGAGGGAGGCTCCAGGCCTTCCCACTGAGGACTGGGAGGAATTCACCTTTCCATTCCTCAGCGGATCAGTTGACTTCTTGGGAATGTGAGAGCTCAGAGAAGCACCTTCAGGAAATGATTTCAATTTCTCCGTCCTTTACTTGCTGGCCTTGGGAGCTGCGCTGTCCTCTGCCCATGTCCCTGGCAGGCCAAGCCCCTGGTTCAGGGTCAGTTGCTGGGGCTGCAGAGCTTCCCAAGCCCCTGAGGCGCTATCCCTCCTCAGAAAATTCTCGCAGGAAGCTGGGGTGGGGGCGGGTGTCCCAGCCCCATTCTGCCCGCTTTGCCAGATCCCCCACCCTAGGATGCTCACTTCCTGCAAGGGACAAGGGCCTGGTCCTTTTGCTTCAGCCTGACGAAGAAGGTTGCCCCCAGCAGGTTGCGCTGACCCTTACATCATGTCCTTGCTTCTCTTCTCCAGGGCTGAGCTTACTCTGAAGACTTGTAAAATCTCTTTCCCTGTGTTCTCCCGGTTGTCCCCACGCGTTCTGTGAGGGTAACGGCTGAAAGGATGAGCATGCCCAGTGCGCTGCTTTCCTGTGTCCACAGTGCTGGAGAAGGAGAGAGCTTGTCAAGAGGCCACAGAGGCTGAGGGGCACTGAGGTCTACTGAAGACACGCTTTTTGGATGGGCTCATGAATATTCAAACATGCAAATATCATGCTATGTCTACAACTTCCAGAATCTTAAAGCCTCTTTGGGTGGTATCCAATGGATTTATTTCTGTGCAGAAAATGTCTCTGCAAAGTGAGTCAGCTACCTGCTATCTGACCCCTCCATCCCATTACTTGATAATTGTTTCTATAGATGATGGTGTACACTGCAAGGGAAGGGATTCGTTTCCTCTTTGTCTCTCCTTTTCTTTCCTTCCCTCTCTCTCTTTCTCCCTCTCTCTCTCTATTCCTCTCTTTCTCTCTCTTCCTTTCTCTCTCTCTGTCTCTTTTTTCCTTCTCCTTCTTATTCTCCTCCTTCTCTCCCTGTCTCTTTCTTTTTTTCTTCATTATACTACTCTGGAAAAATTTCAACCTCTACAAACAGAAAGAATAGTATATTGAACCACTATGGATTCATTCCCAGTCTCAACAATTAACCCATGACCAATCTTCTTTCATCTATATCCCCACCTACCCACTCCCTAACTTCCAACATTATT